GATCATGTGTTGCAGCGTGTTGTCAGTGTGCCGCAATGCAAGTGGCAAAATGTGGAATTGCACTGCGGTGCTCTTGCATCTCCATGACTCCTTGTCTCTATGCCACATGCCGCCGTGCACTGTGCATGCACTGCGGCATATGATACAGAGCCTTTGATTTTCGGTTTTGGCTCCAATTTTTTTACTGTTATGTTTCCATATGCATCTTCAATCATCATTTGGCTATCTATCTTTAAAAATACCTAAAATAAACTACCTGAAACAATAGATACAGTTATGAGATCTTTTAAAGTTTAAAATTGAAGTAAGAGTCTTTGCAAAATTCTCAATAAATTCTATTTTCTAGATCAATTTGGAATAAAGCTCATTTTCCTATATTTAAACCCAAAATATTCACAATTGATCTAATTTATCAAATAAAGTGTGGAAAATGCACTGAATTGACATTAATTTCAATGAGTTATCATCCATCCACAAGCAGCTTTCAAATTGTACAATATCAAAACTGTTGATAATCTAGTCCATTTAGTACAACCCAGATACAATGGTTTTTTTGAATCACTTATCAACCTTTCAAAAATTTGAGGGCAATCATGAAAATCATCCTCTATTGCACTTAGCATTTCATCAAGATGACCAATCTCACACAAATTATTGCTATCAATATCATCACATGCTTCTTGACTCTCAAAAGACCTCATGGTATACACCCTTTCACTAGATACATCATTTCTCTTCTCTTGCCTTGTCTAGCATATATAACTTTGATTAATACCATGACATAGTAAATGATCTAGCAACTCAATTGGAGTAATTCACTTTCCATAGCAACAAGTTAAGCAAGGATACAAAAATTTGTTTGGATCTTTTGTTTGCTCAACTACAAAATGAATAAACTCTTTCACCCCATTCCCTATATTCCTTTGACAACTGATTAGTTAATATCCACTTTCGGTCCATACCCTATACCTATTGATATCCATCAAGTCAAAGTAATAGACAACCATTGACATATAATGCAACTAATTAGAAAATTAGGATATAATCTATCCAAATAGAAACATGAAACATGAAAATTGAATTACAAAATTAAAAATAAATATGAAATTAATTCAACATTAAAAAAAAAATTGGCAGCATGACGACTTAAAAATGAAAATTTTTCAGGTATTAAATGATCTAGTTAATAATTGTAATAACTAAAAGAATTAATTTAACATTTTTTATTACATGAAAAATAAATATTCTAGGTAAATTCAAGTCCTAGACAACCACATATATTCAGAATTAAATAAATAATATTCAACAATAATTAAATAAATAAATCAAATTCAATGATAATATATTCAGAATTAAAAGATATTTAGAATAATATATTATTCAACAATAATATATATTTAGCAACTACAAAATGAATAAACTCTTTCACCTCATTCCCTATATTCCTTTGAAAACTGATTAGTTAATATCCACTTTTGGTCCATACCTTATGCCTATTGATATCCATCAAGTCAAAGTAATAGACAATCATTGATATCTAATACAACTAATTAAAAAATTAGAATATAGTCTACCCAATTAGAAACATGAAACATGAAAATTGAATTACAAAATTAAAAATAAATATGAACAAATTAATTCAACATTTTTAAAAAAAATTTGGCAGCATGACGACTTAAAAATAAAAATTTTTTGAGTATTAAATGATCTATTTAATAATTGTAATAACTAAAATAATTAATTTAACGTTTTTTATTACATGCAAAATAAATATTCTAGGTAAATTCAAGTCCTAGACAACCACATGTATTCAGAATTAAATAAATAATATTCAACAACAATTAAATAAATAAATCAAATTCAATGATAATATATTCAAAATTAAAAGATATTTAGAATAATATATATTCAGCAATTATTTTTTAACTAGAAAAAATATATGCTCCAAAAAAAGATAGTATACTCAAAAATTAAAACAAAAAATTACTGTAAGGATGAAACACAAAAAAGCACAGACTACCGAAATTAAGGAAACAAAGTTGGGACCATGAGTGGAAGATTAAGATACATGAGTAGAAATGAGAGGGAACACAAGTTTGAGAAATTTTAAAATGGATTTATAGGGATGGGTAAAAAAATTAAATCTAAAAGTTCAATGGGGGACCTTGGGAGATATAAAGGCAGAGTTGAAAGAAAATAAATGGTGTGAAAAGAGCTAACCTTAGAGGTGGCAAGATGAGGGCGAAGCTATGGGCATGAACACACGGACAAAAGAGACAACCGTGGAGCTTTGAGAAAGCTGAGGGCGAAGAGACAAGAGCGCACGAGCTCAGGAAAGAAGAGACTGTGGTAGGCGCCTGAGCTGAGGGAGACAAGACAGGGGCATGGCGACAGCAGGACAAAAGCAGACAACACACACAATAGTATTTATTAGAGAGTTGGCGTTACCTCTCTTCTAGTATTTATTAAAAAATATATGGTAATAAAAAATTTAATTAATTAAATATACAATAAAATAAAAATTGATTACTAAATAGATTATATTTTATTTTATTTATTAATTATTAAATAAATTACATCATAATAATTATTGAATCTTATAGAATTAATTAATTCAAACATTAATTAATCATAAACTTAGAAAAATTATAATAAAATATTATGTTTTATTTTACAAACATATTATTTAATTTATAAAATATTAGAGAGGTGGTGTTTCCAGTACAAGGAAATGCCACCTCTCTTCCAGTATTTATTAAAATATATATAAAAATAAAATACTTAGTTAATTAATATAGAATAATTAATTAAATATTTAATAAAATGCCACCTATGTTATTTTCAAGATAAAATAAATATTTAAAAATAATAATTGATGATTGAATAGATTATATTACGTTAATTATCAAATCACATGAATCTAATTAATTAAATTATAGTTAAATTATTATTTATGTAATATAATCATTAATACTGATTAAATATATTTTAATTATTTATTATAATTAAAAAAATCAAATAAATAAATTATTAAATAAAATATTACTTTTTATAGAAGTGGTTAATTCAAACATTAGTTTTATTTTTCAAAAGACTAATAAAAAATCCTCCAGAATTCAAAAAAAAAATCCTCCAAAATGAATGGATAAAATGACAAAAATAGTAAAGCAGGTAAAATTTCAAGTCAAAAGCGTAACCTACTTAAAGATAGCAAACCATTCAGCCTTTAAAATAGTAGAAACAGATGCGTCAAATATACAATATTGAAGAATCATCAAATAGTTAGATGGAGACAAAGAATGTATAGTTAGATACTATATAAGAGTATGGACAGAGGCTTACAAAAATATTCAACTAAAAAGAAAAAGTTTTTGATAAAGATAGATTATAAAGGAATAAAAGATGTTTGACAGAAAGATGTTAAAAATTTAATGTCAAAATATATTTTTGCTATATGGCAAGTAATCTTATCTTGTTTTGATTTCGAACACAGTTTATAAAAGGAAAAAATAATTTTCTTCTAGATTTTCTAACAAAAGAAGTCTTACATAAAAAAAATATTTTTTTTTTAAAAAAAGTAAAGCTACTTCGTCAAAGGATAAAGGAAAAGCCATAGCCATATAGCTTTCTACACATCAAAAGCCAAAGAACAACCAACCTCTGAAATTGGAGGATTCTATTCCTCAGAAAGCTAAAACCAATAAACCATGGATCTATCAACAAGCCACATCTCAGATAGAAACCTCAAAGCTAGAACCCCGTCAATATGTTCCTAAAGAATACATAACGAGTCTATGCCATAGAGCCATAATTTCAAAGGAAAAATATTGCCAGCACCATGGGGGCAATTTTTCCTCCTTATGAAGACGAAGGAATATGGAACTATATTCCAACAAACATAAAAAGACAGAAAATATTATTACTTAATTTTGGTACCCTCAAAATCCATCACTATTACTCATCAAGAAAAGGATGGGAGTTTTTACAACCAAATCAAAATTATAATGGTGTTAACTCCAATCACTTGGAGTTATTCACCTTATAAAGCCAAAAATTTTCCTATAAACTATTTTGACTAAATTTATAATTATTTTAATTATAAAGAAGCCTAGCACAATGTTTTGTACTATAAAAATTATGAGCATTCTAAGTTCTTTTGGTTTGATCGGGATTGTCCTAATAATTTTTCAATATGATTCGTTGAATGGTTTTACATTTTCAAACTGGTAAAGAAAATACTCCTTGAAAGGGTGGCAACGAATATGAATATTTTAAAAACAAAACTATTTTCAAAGAAATTGAAAAGCCTTTTTTTTTTAAATCATTTGAGAGTATCATAGATTATGAGATGGTGTTTCTGAATGATAAACATAAAGCCAGCATGCCTTACAGTCAATTTCTTTGTTAGAACATTTAGAGTCAAGTCAATTATTAAATTCTATTTTGTAGTGGCAGTGTAGAGTCTGTGGGTTATGAAGCAGTGATTAAATTTTTGGTTGGAGGCATGTCTCCTAAAAAGATGGCCACAAGTTACCGACAAGATTAATCTAGGTAAAAGATCAAGGATACCTGAGCGAAAGGAAAGAAGATTTTTCTTGTAATAAAAAATACATTAATCTGATATGAAGAGAGATCCGCATGAGTTCGGTATTCGGCTCCTCAACTTACAGGCCATGCAGGCTTTAATTTCTTGCTTACGCAATTGTATTTGAATTATTTTCCATACACATCGATGAATCACTTGCCACTTGCCACCATTTCGAAGCCTATGCTTTCATAATTCGTACACTCGTCCTCAGTTCAACCCATCCATGTGTTCACCGATGGTTATGATTTTATTACGGGGAAAAAAACCACAATGGATAATGCTGGATTCACCGACAAGCCATTTTTAAATAATTCCCTGTGCTTTTGTATTTTTCTTCGTACCTTTGTCTTGTTCCATGACGACCACTATAAATACAAGTTGAGAAAAGTATAATCTGCATCGATCTGTTTCGCCAGTTATCCTATAACCTTTTGAAGCAAAAGATGAATATGAAGCCCTTCATCTTGTGTCTTTTCCTTGGGATGTTACTCATCTCTGCCACTGCAACTGATCGGCTTTCCAAACAAGAGGCGGATCAGAAAGGTAATTATATTGTTGTATTAGGCGGTGATAATACCATTAATAATCTCTATCAATATAGAATTGCGATTTCTAAATTTATTTTCTTCTTGTCCTTATATACTAAAAATATCTTCTTTTATGATATATGTAAATTTAAATATATCTGAAGAACATCCAAACCACAAATCTAGCTTGTTGAATCCCCAAATGTACTTTTGGCAGATGTAAATTGAAATCCAAACAGATTAATTGTGGGTAGTTCTGGTTATAGTGATGATTCAATATCTGTGAAAATTATTAGTTTTTTGGGCTATTGGGTATGGTTGCGCCATGCAGTGTCCGATATATGCTCCACTCAAGAAAACATTATAAATTATTTATTTCACTTGAATCAAGAGAATGGTTAAGTCATTAAGCTTAGAAAAAATTAGAGAGAGGGATCTAATAGTATTAAAATTTATTATAAAAGACCATAAAAATTAAAATTAAGATGAAAGACCAATATAAACATAATTGACCATTATAATCTTAATATAAAATCTGTTAGCCTTAAAATTAAAATGGGGGTATGCCCAAGTTATAAAAGTACTCTAAAAAATAAGAATGTGCCGTTTTCAATTTCAACCCAACAATAAAAAGTAGTATTAAATTTAATTAAAAAATTTTAATCATTATAATTTTTTAAAAATTTTTACCTTTAAAAATTAAATCAGTATAATTTAAAAAATTCTTTACTTTAAAGAGTTATTCAATTTTGTCTGTTTCAATCTCTGGACTTATGGATTTTTAAAAGAGGTGAGAACAGTATAGTATTTTTAAATTTATATCTTGATATTTGATCTTTCTAAATAATCACTATTTTTAAAGTCCTTTGGTATAGTTTTTCCTTAATTTTATTTAAAAATATAATAAACTTTTAATTTTTAATCATCGAGAGTGTATACACCGAAAAAGATATTGATTTTAGTTTTGTGTCCATACATACACAGCTGGTACAGCAGCAAAAGAATCAAAGACGACAACCTCCGGCTGGGGAGGAGGAGGAGGAGGACCTGGTGGCGGCGGATGGGGAGGAGGAGGAGGACACGGCGGATGCCATCAATGCTGTAAATGGGGGCGCTGCTGGTGTTGCTGATCGATGAAGCTGTCAAACCAGAGAACAAAAAGCTAAGTGACTATAATATGATGAATGCAAGACATACGTACTATTAGCTAGTAACTAAAAGCTAAGAAATAAAACATGGATATATAGTACCGTATCTTCCATGTACGCCTTTTGCTATGTTAATTAGCTGATAAGCATTCATGCAGCTTACATATAATGTTTTTCATTGTACCGACCAGAGGGAGTTGCATGAATATATATATATATATATATATATCAACATGTGGTTTTAAAAGTATGATTTTCTAGCAACTGTGTGTACTAAAATACGAGCGGATGTGTGTATTTCATCTCCTAATAAACATTTTTATAAGTCACTTCATAAAATTTTTATTATAATTTTTTTACCTTTCATTAAATATTAATGAAGGAAAGTACGTTATTAAAACATACATGTTTAATAAAAGTAAAGTTTGAGACTTATTAAATTTTTATGAAGAGTTGTAAGGTTTTTTTTTTGTTTTTTGTAAAACAAAGTATGTGTGTGTATATACAGGTCAAAATAATAAGTAGGGTATCAATATGAAATACTGTCTAATTGGATGGCCAATACAATTAGTATAGAGTGTTCTTTTTATAAAGGTTTTATTTTAAAACTAATACTCCCTTTATCTTATTTTCTAATTTGGGGGTAATTTTGATATCTTAAAATATAAGTCGTTTTAAAAAAAATAAGATTTTATTAATGATAGTAATTTCATACTACCTACTAATTAAATTTATTTTTACTTCCTTAATAAAGGGTAATTTTAGAAATTTATAGAAAAAAATTGTAGGCAAGTAATTGAAAGAAGTAATTATAAACTAAACTAAGTAAATGCAAGTGCATATTTAGATATTCGTTGTAGGAAATGGTGCTGGAAAAACTCAGTTTCGAAAACTATAGCTAAAAAGAATGTCTACTTGTGTTGAGAAATGTGAGGTGACGTGATCGATCAGAATACAGTAGTTTAATAAAAGGAGATAAATTAAATAAACATTTAATAGAAATTGCGTTTGCAAAATTGAAAAACTATAGCTAAAAAGAATTTCTACTTGTGTTGAGAAATGTGAGGTGACGTGATCGATCAGAATACAGTAGTTTAATAAAAGGAGATAAATTAAATGAACATTTAATAGAAATTGCGTTTGCAAAATTGAAAAACTATAGCTAAAAAGAATTTCTACTTGTGTTGAGAAATGTGAGGTGACTAAATAAAACACCATATATCTATATATATATATATATATATATATCTGTTTGGAGGGTAATCAACAAACCAGATTCCTTATTAGGCAGGGTTTTTCGATCTAAATATTTGCAAGATGAAGACAACTTGATTTTCTCTTCTAAATCTACTGCATCTCTAACCTGGAAAAAAATATTAGCTGCTAGTGATGTGGTTTTGCAAAATCTCAAATGGATAGTAGATAATGGTAAATCTATGTCGCTGAAAAGTCGGCGTTTTTGACCTTTGCAACAGTTAGATTTTCCTTCGTTTGCTCAAAAAGTGGAAGATCTTACACTGCGACCTCAATTTTTTTGGAGTAGACATTTAGTCCTTTCTTTATGTCAACCTAACGTAGCTTCACAGATCTAGTAAATTCCATGATCTTGCACAAATCAAAAGGATCTGTGGCTTGGATTCTTATCTCCCATGGTTGCTACTCGGTTAAGGAGTGAAATTATTAAACCTTAAATACACTGCTATAAAAAAATATATAATTGACACTCTATAATTGACTATTTATTTAAAAAAAATGAAAAATAAAAAAGGCAAAAAATACTTGACGGCGTCAAATATTTAGACAGGCGTCAAATATTTAGACAGATACTTGACGGTTATTTAAAGATAACCGTCAAGTATATATATTTGACATTTTTTTTAAATAACCGTAATATAAATCTAAAATTTACATGTCGGTCTTCAATAAACAAACGTCAAATTAACAATAGAAAAAAAATTAAATTTTTTCACATACTTGACACTTCTTTTAAAAAAACCATCAAGTACCAAATTTGTCTGCCATATACTTGACGGTTTTTTTAAAATAAGTGTCAAATATGTAATACTTGACGGTTATTTCATAATAATTGTCAAGTATTGTCGTTTAAATTTCCTCCAGATTTCTTTTTCACTCTCCATTTCTGCAAATCATTCGTCTTCAGAAACAAACCCAGAGCCACCGAAACCCATATTTCGTCACTCTAACTGCCAAAAAACACATTTTCGGTCTCGATTCTTGAGGGGTTTTTGATTCTCGGCCTCCATAAGTCTCATGGGCACTCGTTCGTTTGGATTCTCAGTCTCTATCACTCTGCAACACACTCTTGTCTCTGCTTTTCTACACAGTCAGAGTTCCCTCTTCTTGTTGAGGTAGGTTCTTGCTTTTCCAATCATTAATCTTCATTTTAAATGTATGGGTTGCTGATTTTGATTTTCATACGTAATAAATGGTTTCTGTGTTGTTTATTTTGATCTGCATTGTTGTTCTTCTTAGTGAGTGTTTGAAGTTTTGAGTTTTTGGGTGCTTAATTATTGAATTAATGGATTATCCAATTATTTTGCTGATATGAGGAGATTCATTAAGGATATGAAAATAGTATACTACCTAATTACATGAGTGTTTGTTCTAAAATTGAATGATTAATTTAGATTTATATTTCTTGAGTTGTCAATTTTTACATTACTATTTTTTCAATTGATTGAGAATTGGCTTATGAAAAAATATTTTTGAGATTTTAAATTGATATTTATATAGTGCTTGATGTGGTTTAATATGATTTTAATTAAAATTGGGTTTCTTATTAATTTTGTTATTATTGTTGTTGGATCATATATAGTCTCATTATGGATAACTTGATTTTTCTAAAGGCATAAAGACTTGGTAATACTCATTTTAAGCCGTTATATATACTATCAATTTTTTTTAAATTATTATTGAATATAACTTTATATGATTGTTGTTGTGGATGCTGCTGCTGTTGTCATTTAGATTAATAGAGAGAGGGGATAAAGCCCGAGAAACTCTCTTTTTCAAGTTATTATGCTGCCGAAATTATTTCAATGGCTAGCATTAAAATATAATTATTAGTTTTAAACAAGATTAAAGACGGAATGTGCAAACATGTGGTTAGTGACTTATTGATTAATTGATCTTTGTATCTAATTCCCCCACTATTTAGGAGTAGTCAAAGTCACTAATCATATTTCCCTCTTAATCTTTCTAGGAATTATGGATAAAGAATGGATGTCTGCCAATCGTCTATCCAAGGAATATTAGAATGGGGTGGCAAATTTTGTTAAGCTTGTAGTTAAGCATGTGGAGGATCCTAGTAGAATTATTTACCCATGTTTAAAGTGCGGTCTTGTGAAGCGGGTTAGTCCAGATACTTGTGAAGAACACTTAATGATTAATGGGATGGATCAAAGTTACAAGTGTTGGACAATGCATGGAGAGACAAGAGATGATATTAGTTGCAGCCAGAAGCATAGTGAAAGCTGTGCATCATCTTCTGATGATTTTGACGCATGCACACTTGAGGAAGATTATCTTGAACAGATGGCCAAAGCAGTTGAAGAGGACCTCGAGGATTGTTCGGAAATGTTTGAGAAGTTGAAAAGTGATGCAGAGACACCGTTGTATGCTGGTTGTAGTGCATCAAAGTTGTCGGCAGTGTTAAAACTGTACAACATGAAGGCAAAACATGGATGGAGTGATTCGAGCTTTACTGAGTTGCTTGGGTATTTGAAAGTAGAATTACTTTCTAAGGAAAATGAGCTTCCTTGTCGAACATATGACGCAAAACAAATATTGCGATCAATTGGCATGAGTTATGAAAAGATACACTCGTGCCCTAATGATTGCCTTTTATTTCAGAATGAATATGCATCGTTAACCGAGTGTCTGAAGTGTAACGCCTCACGCTACAAGGACCCAAAGCTGACAAAGGACCCAAAGCCACCAAAGCACCCCTTGCCAACAAAGAAAAAGGTATACGGAGAATGACAATTAAGGACCTGCTAAGAACATTAATCCCAATTATGAACCATAAAATTTTGAAATCCTACTTAAAGATCATGGTCCTTAATTGTGATTAAAAAATGTAATTTGTGAGGTGAGATTCATTATTGCCACTTGGGAATTCACTAACCCAATGATGAACCCTTTAGTCGCCTTGGGTTATCAAATTTTACTAGAATGTAGAAGTGAGTATTCTAGGTCATTTCCCTAGAGAGCAAAGCATACAAATCATTGTTCAAATGCTTACAAATTAATCTAAATTTTCAAGTGACTAAACTAACTCTATAATGCAACAATAAATGTTTGTAAAATTTTGTTTTAGTTGGAATGAAATGAATGATGATTATGGTGAGCCCAAGTCAGATTTCCTAACATTAATCATTGATTTCCAGAATTATAACATCATAAACCTTCTTGATTAACCTAAAATGAGACACTTAGAAACCTCTAAGTATGGTGCACCATTAGATTCAATGGACACTAATGAATCTAGGTCAAGTGAACTTAGAAATTAACACTATATTCAGCCTTGTTCTACACAAGTTTCAGACCAAAACTAGTGGAAGAAAAATAGCTTAAGTCAAATTCATATAACCAATATGGATCTAACTCAAGTCTACACAAGAACTTGAACAAGAATCAACAAGAACTTATGAAATAACCCTAGAACATCAAGGTAAATCATAAATTTTAGAACTGAAAATAGCATGAAAATCTAAATTCAACATTCATATTCTCATCAAATTTGAATTAGAATCACAAAGTCTTCAACCAAAACAGGTTCAAAATTCGAAATCCTCAAAGAATCAAGACAAGAACATGAAATCAAGAAAATGAACAACAATTACAAATCTGGAAATCTCATAATGTCAAGTCATCTTTCTTGGAGCTCTAAATGATCAGCCTCTCATGCTCTTCCTCTTTGCTTGAATCAGACCTTGAGCTTGAGAAGCTTCCATGGATGAATGAAGATGAAGAAGTTGCAATCTGGAAATCTGGACAAGAGATGGACGAAAATGCAAGCTGGAATGGAGAAGAAAGTGGACAAAAATCTGAATAGAGAAGGAATGATGATCTGGACCAAGTGTTGATGATGGAAGATGAAGAAATGAAATCTGAAAAACAGGTGAACAGTGCTGGATGAAAATGAATGAAGAAGAAGAGAGAGAAATATGGCTGAAGTGAGAGAGTGGGATCTGAATTATGAGGCTCTCATCTGAAAATTCAGCTTATGTATGTGTGGAAAATGTGAGTGGTGATAAAACCAAAGTGGATGGTGATAAAAACAAGGAAGGTCTAGATCTGAAATGAGCTGGGAAAATGGACGAAAATAAGCTAAAATGGGAATAAAAATGAGGGGGAAAATGTGGCAAGGAACATGTGAACATGTGTGGGAAATATGACTCCTCCTTAGGCTCCCAATTAGCTGCCACATGTCATCCAATTAGATCTGATCATGTCACACCTCCCATGCCCCTTTTTCACTTGATGATGTGTCCCTCAATGCTTTCCATGCTCCTTTGATTTTTTTATTTAATTAATTCTCCCTAATTAAATCTGAATAATGGTGCTATATCATCCCTCAAATAATTCTGGAATTTGCGCCTAACAGCCCCTAAATTCTTCATCTTTATTTATTTGCTATCTCTTGAATTTCTCCATGCATGTGGACTAGCCTTTGATCCTTGATTCCAAAATTGCCCTCACAAAATCTGAAAATAAAAACACAAGACTAAATAAATTCTAAACAAAAAGAAATAAAAAGGAAAAGAAGAGAATTAATGCCCAAGATCTCAATTTAGGATATGAAAGTGTCAAAACAATCATCAAATAGCACTACTAGGACATAAAGTCAATCTAGAAATGACAACTCAAAACCGAAAATTAAACCCTATTATGCACAATTTGATGCCAAAAATCAAGTGTTTTAACATGTAAAATATAAGATAGATCAATTCCCCATACTTGGATTTTGCTCTCCGGGCAAAACTCTCTCAAAACCTAGACAAGTAAACAACACAAAAATACAAGCTCTCAAGAGTAAATCCTATTTTCAAAGTCAATGCACTATCACAAGAACTAAACCAATGTTGCAATCTTTAGAGAAAACCTTAATACATCACAAGTAAACCATTTGCAAGAATGTAATCTCAAAGAGAAACCTCATCGGATTAGTGTTTCACTCTAGCACTCGGTGTATAAGGGTACAAATATCACTCAAGTTCCTTAGCAAGTCATCCTACCATAGGCTTGTAATCCCTCTATCTCTCCACTACTAAGATGCAAGGGTTCTCAAGAATCATATGGACTTTCAAAGGATGTAATGTGCTCAATGAATGGTACACTTAGATTTGCATGTGAAAGAGGTAGGGATTGGCTCAAGAAACTTATCTTGGCCACAATGTAGGTATGCTCAATATACAAGACTACTTAAAACCAAACCCAATAGATAACATAATAGGGATCATGGATGGAATGAATAATTGGCCAAGAATGAGATGAAATGATAGAGATAATAGAGATGAGATGTGAATCTATAAGTAGGAACAAGTGAATCAAATAACAAACCCAAGGAAGCTTGCTTATTCAAACTCTTTCTTTTGCTTTTCTTTGATCCACTTTAGATTTTTTTTCTCAAGTATATTTTTTTTCTTTCTACAATCTTTTTTCTTCTTTCTTTTGTATCACTTCTTTCTTTGTTTTGTTTTTTTTCTCTTGCTATTTGTTTTTTTTTATTTCGTTTTTTTTTCTCTTTGTTTCTCAAGGCATAGCTTCCAATACTTGGGTACAACTCAAAAAATGTTCCTTAATCATAAGAATGGCAGGTATGGCCAATGTGAATGAGTAAAATAGATCCCACTAGATGTTATCTACTAGTTTAATTAAAAATAGTCAATGCACATTGAAACATATCAAATGAAAATACATGCAATCTATCCAAGATAGGGCAAGTGTTTAAAAATGACAAAAATAAAGAAAGGCTCTATTTGGCTAAGCAAGGGATAATCAAGTAATCAAGGGTTAGCTAAAAGGCCTTGGGCACTTTAATGATGGCCATAATCACTTTCCCTACAACCAATGCACAAGTGTAGCCTCAAGTAAGAGAGAAAACAAGTTCTAGAGGATTAACAAAACCAAGGAACATAGAACTCTCAATGGTTGAAGGCCCCTTCCATATGGTTCATTCTTGCCTCTCTTAATCAATTACACTCAACCAAATGATTTATTGCTTCAAAACAGATTTAAGCTAAAGAAAGCAACATCTCAAAAGTTCAAATTTCAAATGCAAAAACTAAGATCATCTTTAAAACTCAAGATTGCTCACAAAACAAAAGTTTTTTTTTTCAAAAACACACTTTCCCCCACACTTAAACAATGCATTGTCCCTAATGCATGCAAAACACATAATGGGAAGAATTAAATCATTTCTATACAGTATGTAAAAGTGTGGAAAAAGGTCAATTTTTTTTTCAAAAACACCACTAAACAGCAAGGAAATAAAGGAAAACAAAGAAACAACAAAAGCTAACATAACTAACTAAGGAAAAGGAATTTCGTTTTTCTTTCTTTTTTTGTTTTTCTAAACCTAATGAATCAGGTTGCATCTCCCCCCATACTTGAACTCAAAATGACATTCACAAACACAAACACAAGCAAAGAATGGTGTACCACATGTGTGCATATGTGACAGCAAGCATATCCCAATTAGTGCTCCACTTGTGTGCTTTGTGAATCAATTAAATCAATCAAAAAGAAATAAGAAGGAAAGATACAACCTTTGAAGACTCATGGAGGATCTTTGAATCTCATTTCAGCAAGCAATGTGGAAGATTCACCCTCATGAAATTTCTTGCACAAGTGGCCATTTGCCTTGAATGTTAAGCCACTTTGAGGATCTTTGAGGGTGAGAGTGCCATAGTCAAAAATTTCCTCCACAATGTAAGGACCCTCCCATTTGGATTGAAGTTTGCCACTAATGAGCTTGAGCCTTGTCTTGAACTTAAGCACTTTATCTCCCACTTGAAATTGCTTCCTCAAAATACATTTATCATGAATGAATTTTGCTCTTTCCTTGTACAATTTAGAGCTCTCATATGCTTCCAATCTCAACTCATCCAATTCTTGAAGTTGGAGCTTCCTAGAGGCAGCTACACCCTCCTCACCAAATGCACAAGCCTTCACAGCTCAATAGGCTTTGTGCTCAATCTCCACCGGGAGGTGACATTGCTTACCATAGACCAACCTAAATGGAGACATCCCAATGGGTGTCTTGAAGGCGGTCCGGTATGCCCAAAGAGCCACCTCAAGTCTTGAGCTCCAATCCTTCCTATTCGGTCTCACTATCTTTTGGAGGATAGACTTGATCTCCTTGTTCGAACACTCAGGCAACCCATTTGTTTGAGGATGATATGGGGTTGCCACCTTGCATAGAACACCATATCTCTAAATTGTTTGAGATAGTCTTGTTGCAAAAGTGTATCCCTTGGTCTATGATGATTGCTCTTGGGATGCCAAACCTATAAAACACATGAGACAAAAGAAACTTCACCACAACTTTGGCATCATTAGTTCTAGTGAGGATAGCCTCAACCTACCTAGAAACAAAATCAACACAGAGCAATATATATTCACAACCATTGGAAGAGGGAAAAGGACCCATGAAATCCATACCCCAAACATCAAAGATCTCACAAAATATAATGGGCACCTGTGGCATTTCATGTCTCTTTCCCAAACTCCTAAAATGTTGACATGCATGACATGCTTTGCAAAATTGATGTGCATCTTTAAAAAGAGATGGCCAATATAAACCACAATCTAAGACCTTCTGCCCGGTCCTCCTAACCCCAAAATGACCACCACATGCATAAGTATGACACATCCTCAACACATCATCAATCTCAATATCAGGAACACATCTCCTAATGACACCATCACTACACAATCTCCAAAGAGTAGGTGAATCCCAAACATAGTATCTACTTTCCCTAGCAAGCTTCTCCCTAGCATGTCTAGTAATCCCATTTGGAAACACATTATGCACCAACAAATTGACCAAATTAGAATACCAAACAACATCATGGGAAGAAATAGCACATAATGACTCATCACAAGGGAAATCAAAAGAGGAATTACCATAATGGAGTCATAAGGCAATCGACTCAAGTGATCCGCCACATGATTTATTGCTCCACTCCTATCAATGATCTCCAAATTGAACTCTTGAAGTAGAAGCATCCATCTAAGCAAACGTGGCTTGGTGTCCTTCTTCTTTAAAAGGTACTTCAAGGCCGCATGATCTGTAAAACAAACAACCTTAGAATGCAACAAGTAAGATCTAAACTTGTCAAGAGCAAACACTAATGCATACAATTCTTTCTCGGTTGTAGTGTAATTGCATTGTGCTTTGTCTAAAGTCCTAGATGCATATGCAATAACATAAGGTAGCTTGTTTTCTCTTTGTCCCAACATAGCCCCAACAGCAAAATTAGAGGCATCACATGAAATCTCAAATGGAATTAACCAATTAGGACTCCTCAAAATAGGAGGGGAAACAAGCTTAGCCTTCAAAGCATCAAATGCATCTCTACAACTTGGAGAGAACTCAATTTGACATCTTTTTGAAGTAATTGAGATAAGGGATGTGCAATCTTCAAAAACTCTTTAATAAATCTTCTATAAAAACCCACATGGCCAAGGAAAGATCTCAAGTCCTTGACATTAGTTGGATAGGGCAAAGATGAAATCACTTCAATTTTGGCCCTATCCACCTCAATGCCACGGCTTGAAACCAAGTGGCCCAAGACAATCCCTTCCTCAACCATAAAATGGCACTTCTCAAAGTTCAAAACCAAGTTCTTCTCCACACATCTAGCAAGGACTTTATCAAGATTTCTCAAGCAAGAAGAATAAGAATCCCCATGAATTATGAAATCATCCATGAACACTTCCATGCAATTTTCAATAAAATCACTAAAAATACCAAACATGCATCTTTGGAAAGTCCCTGGAGCATTACACAATCCAAAAGGCATTCTTCTATATGCAAAGGTACCAAATGGGCAAGTGAAAGTGGTTTTGTGTTGATCAACCGGATCAATGCAAATCTGAAAATAACCACTATATCCATCAAGGAAGCAATAATAAGATTTCCCCCCTAATCTTTCTAACATTTGATCAATAAATGGGAGAGGGAAATGGTCTTTCTTGGTTGCCTCATTCAACCTCCTATAATCAATGCATACCCTCCAACTATTTTGTACCCTAGTAGGAATCAATTCATCATGTTCATTCTTTACCACAGTAATTCCACTCTTCTTGGGCACAACTTGCACCGGAGACACCCATTCACTATTACTAATAGGGTAGATTATACCATGCACTCAAGAGTTTGGTGACCTCTTCTTTACCACATCAAGTATGAGAGGATTCAACCTCCTTTGTGGCTGCCTTATTGCCTTAGCATTTTCCTCCAACATGATCCTATGCGTGCAAGTTTGAGGGCTAATTCCAGGAATGTCTCTAAGTGTCCACCCAATGGCTTCAATGTTCTTCCTCACTACATCACACAACAAAGACTCTTCCATAGGGGTTAGTGAAGAAGAAACAATAATAGGAAGTTGATTACCATTTTTTAAGTAAGAATACTTAAGATGTGAAGGAAGTGGCTTCAACTCCAGATTGGGTGGCTCAATGATGCTTGGAGGAATCTTTTGCACTTGAATTTGTCTTGCTAGATCCATGTCTTCCTCTTTAAGTGGCATGTACAAGCTTCCAACAGCTGTTATATGCAAAATTTCATCCAAATTGACTTGCTTTGTTCCAACTTTGTGCCTCACGTCCAGATCTGGTTGGCTTGCTCTAAAATTAATTCCCATTTTGGTCAGATCTGATTCTAGACTTTCAGCACCAATTTGCACGCCCCTTGGATCATTAACAGCCCCAAAATCACTTTGTTCATGCTTTTCAAGTGTCCCTAAACCTGAAACATCACAAGTAGAACACTCCTCCAACCTTGGAGAATGATTAGGCACAAAAGGATTAAAGCTGTCAAAAATTTTAGAATTAAATTCACTAGAAGAAATCAAATGATGTGATGAAATATGACATGTGGAAGATGAACTAGGGCCATATTAGATGCAATTTCACTCTCATCACTTGATTCAATCACTAAATCAACAGAATTTCCAGAATTGATACTCAAATCATCAAACTCATCTAATGCAAGCAAATCACTCAAGGAAGCATATGTTTGGTCATGTGAAGAACTAGACAACACAAGTGCTTCAAATGGAGTGCAAGTAGATGAGTGAGGCATGTCAAGTGTGCTGCCATTCAAATGCTCATGCTCAAGTGAATGCAATTCATCTTGATTTTTCAAATTAGACAAAATTAACACTATATTATTGCAATTCACACAAATAGAGTCATGAGTGCATGAACAAGTGAAACTAGGCAAAGATGCAACATCATCCAAGTTAGGAGGCATAGAAACCTCATCAATGATTCCATCAAGTGTATCATCAATGCAATCCACAAAATGAAGGCTATAATTAACATAAGAGTTTTTCAAGCTATCAAATATGTTAAATTCAATCTTGCTGTCTAAAAACTCCATGGTAAGTTTACCTTCCTTCATGTTTAATATAGTACTTGATGTCATCATAAAAGGTCTCCCAAGAATGAGTGTGCCTTGGCCTCCTTCTTGCATATCCAACACATAAAAATCTGCTGGAAAAACCAAGTCCTTAACCTTCACTAAGATGTCTTCCAAGAATCCCTTAGGCTTCCTAGTGCTCCGGTCGGCTAGTTGCAAGATAACACTACAATCTTGAGACCACCAAGATTAAGTGAAGAATAAATGTGAGTGGGCATCACATTGATGGCTGCCCCTAGGTCAATCAAGGCTTCTTAAACAAACACATTCCCTATTTGACAAGGAATGGTACATGCCCCCGGATCTCTACACTTTAGAGGGAGTTGTGGCTTGAAGATAGCACTAATATTAGGACTCATTTGAACTGTAGCCAATGGTTTGAATCCCCTTTTATTAGTGCACAACTCCTTCAAAAACTTTGCACACTTAGGCATGCTTTTTATCTTCTCAAGAAGTGGTATGTTCACTTCCACCTTCTTCAACATATCAAACACATCATGCCTATCTTCTTCTTGCCCTTTCTTAGCAAATCTAGTCAAGGCCTTAGGGAATGGCATATCCCTTGGAAAGGGTCCCTAATTTGATATTCTTTTAGAGGCTCTCTTCTTCCCAACACCTCTTTCTCCTTAGGCTTGCTTGAATCATTCTCATTTGCCTTAGAAGATGGATGAACCGTGGCTGTTCCAGCACTGTCTTGGCCTTGATTTAAGCTCAATTTCACCTCTTTTTCTTGAGCATTCAGGGCTGATCTTGCCCCATTTGCATCCTCAACTACAATTTCTTCAATAGAGTCATCCTCATCATCAAGCACTTGAGGACTTAGAGAAGTAGGAGGCGTGTTCTTGAGGCTATGTGAGGCACTTGGATGCACATTTAGCTTGTTGTCACAGCAAGTGAAATCACGTGGATCAGCAAGAAAAAGTGATCTTCCTTCACAAATTTGAGAATTCCTTGAAATAACCTCATTAGGCTTGCTGCCACTATGGTTTGAGGCATTTGGAATGGCTTCAAGAATTCTTCCACTCCTCAACTCAATTGCACTAAGGCTCTTTGGATTGATGACAGGTTGAGTTGGGAGCTTTCCACTTCCTTGAGCTTGGCTAATGCTATTTGAATTTCTAAATTGTTGCACCACCAAATCAGTGCTTTGTTGCTTTGATTCAAGATTGTCTAGCCTCTTAAGCATCATGTCCATTTTCGATTCTGCCCTAGACATATGAGAATCAAACTTTTGGCCTATAGAAAACATAGCATCACCCATCCTCTCAAGGTAGGAATACATTTGTTTATCACCTCCACCATCTTGAATAGGGATCACTTGAGAATTCTTGGCTTGCACAACCTCTTGATTACCCTTGTAGCTGAAGTTAGGGTGCTGCCTCCAACTTGAGTTATATGTGCTCCCATAGTTAGCCTCAAAATTGTTCCTTTCCTCTTGATTATGTTGATAATTGTAGGGCCTTTGTTGTTGATACACAGCCCCAACATCTTGAGCATGCATGCAATTAGAGGTGATATGCATTGTTGAATTGCATATACTACAAATAGGAGCCACTAGAGCATTGGACATAGAAGCAATCTGAGCTTGTGGAGGATTGGAGATAGACATCTTGAGAAAATCCAATTGAGAGTAGATATCCTCCAATTGGGAATTAGCAATAGAAGATTGGCCCACTTGGTGAACACCCCTTGCATCTCTTGAGCTAAATTGTTGGTTATTATTTGCAAGCTTTTCCAACAAGGTCCATGCATCATCCGGTGGAAGATCTAATAGAGAGCCATTTGCAGCAGCATCTATGGTCTCTCTATCATGAATTTGCAACCCCACATGAAAATAATCAATGAGGAACTCCTTGCCCACATTTAGGTATGGACACTTTGCAAGCAACTCAAGAAACCTCATCCAATACTCATAAAGAGATTCTTGAGGGTGTTGTTGAATCCCCATGATTTGCTTCCTTAATTGAGAATACTTGGTTGCTGGAAAATATTTTTCAAGGAAGCGATTTCGCATCTCCACCCAAGAATTGATGGTCCTTGTGGCAAGAGTATTGAACCATGTGATTGCTTTGTCCTCAAGAGTAAAATAGAAGACCTTGAGCATCAAATTCTCCAAGTTTACTATGGGAGGCTTCATGGTTGAATAAACCCTCTCAAGTATTTGAAGATGCCTATTAGGATCCTCACCTGCAAGGCCATGGAATTTTGGCAAAGCATTAATCAATGAAGGTTTGATTTCATACTCATTTTGTTCTTGTAAATTCAAAAACAAACCACTAGGTCTAAATGTATCAGTGGGTGCTACCATCTCTCTAATACTCCTCCTAGTAGGTATTTCATGTTCATTACCATGCAATCTATCAGCCATACTGTCCAAAATCACAGAATTATCAACTATGGTGTTTGGAAGAGAAGAAGATGCTAAGAACTCTAAGTATTGATCTCTAAATTCAATATAATTTTCACCAAGTTCTTTGCAAGTCCTACAAGACATATAAAGCTCAGAACACCACAGAAATAGCACTGGACCAAAGAAAAATCAAAAATTCGAAAGTAGGCAAAAATTCTGAAAACTGGCAGAATTGAAACACACTGAGGCAGTATTTTTGTTAAAAAAAATTCGAATGTGAAAAAGACAAAATTAGGAAAAAATAAAAACTAAAAATTTAAAGCTAAAACACTAAATTAAATGCAGGAATTTTTATAAACAAAATTTCCAAATAGGGAAAGAGATATGCTCATCCAAAATTAGCCCTGTCTGCCTGGAGTGTCACTGGGAGTCAGCAGTGGACCCTATGTGCTTGTTCAGTGCACACCTCTCTGGTCCCGAATCAAATTGAGCTGAAATTTTTACCTGAAACTTTCAACACATAGAAGGTTATACAGTACAATTTTCAAGGAAAAATTCGCAGTCAATTCTTCCCAGTATTTTTTCGAATTAGGGTCTGCAGCACTGGAATTTCCAGTGAACCCTGTTTTAGTCAAGCAAAAATTCAACCAACTTAATGGCCGAATTAGCAATTATGTTCAACAGAAAAAATGTTTCTAAGATAACCAGGAACACAATGAAACAAGAATCAGCTCAAAATGATATGTCTAGCGAAAATTATACCTGTCCAAATTTCGTGCAAAATTTCTGGGCAGAGCAAATTCTCAGAGCTTGCTGGCACTTGAGTTAACCTTGACAGATTTGGCTTGCACGTCCAGAATCAATAACATGGTGACTATATCCAGTAGCAAACAAACCAAACAAGTGATCAAATGCTTAGAAAGCACAAGTCAGCCACCACAATACAAATTCCAGAATTAAGCCAAAATGCAAAGCAAATTAAAACAACAATTGAAACCACAATTAGTATGGCTAGTTGCTCCCCGGCAACGGCGCCAATTGATGAACCCTTTAGTCGCCTTAGGTTATCAAATTTTACTAGAATGTAGAAGTGAGTATTCTAGGTCATTTCCCTAGAGAGCAAAGCATACAAATCATTGTTCAAATACTTACAAATTAATCTGAATTTTCAAGTGACTAAACTAATTCTATAATGCAACAATAAATGTTTGTAAAATTCTGTTTTAGTTGGAATGAAATGAATGATGATTATGGTGAGCCCAAGTCAAATTTCCTAACATTAATCATTGATTTCCAGAATTATAACATCATAAACCTTCTTGATTAACCTAAAATGAGACACTTAGAAACCTCTAAGTGTGGTGCACCATTAGACTCAATGGACACTAATGAATCTAGGTCAAGTGAACTTAGAAATCAACACTATATTCAGCCTTGTTCTACACAAGTTTCAGACCAAAACTAGTGGAAGAAAAACAGCTTAAGTCAAATTCATATAACCAATATGGATCTAACTCAAGTCTACACAAGAACTTGAACAAGAATCAGCAAGAACTTATGAAATAACCCTAGAACATCAAGGTAAATCATAAATTCCAGAACTGAAAATAGCATGAAAATCTAAATTCAACATTCATATTCTCATCAAATCTGAATTAGAATCACAAAGTCTTCAACCAAAACAGGTTCAAAATTCAAAATCCTCAAAGAATCAAGACAAGAACATGAAATCAAGAAAATGAACAACAATTACAAATCTAGAAATCTCATAATGTCAAGTCATCTTTCTTGGAGCTCTAAATGATCAGCCTCTCATGCTCTTCCTCTTTGCTTGAATCAGACCTTGAGCTTGAGAAGCTTCCATGGATGAATGAAGATGAAGAAGTTGCAATCTGGAAATCTGGACAAGAGATGGACGAAAATGCAAGCTGGAATGGAGAAGAAAGTGGACAACAATCTGAATAGAGAAGGAATGATGATCTGGACCAAGTGTTGATGATGGAAGATAAAGAAATGAAATCTGAAAAACGGATGAACAGTGCTGGACGAAAATGAATGAAGAAGAAGAGAGAGAAATATGGCTGAAGTGAGAGAGTGGGATCTGAATTATGAGGCTCTCATCTGAAAATTCAACTTATGTATGTGTGGAAAATGTGAGTGGTGATAAAAAACACGACTTGAGAATTCACTAACTAAACTTGAAAAAATTTCTAACGTATATTGTGAAAACATGAAACTTCACTTGGGAATCGATTGTTTAATAAAAAACACCAATTTGGATAAGTCACTTTTTATTAATGATTTTCAAGTGGGGTTTTATTTTTTCATCATATACGTTAGAAATTTTTTCAAGTCTAGTTAGTGAATTTCCAAGTAGCGCTTTTTATTAAACATTCCATTTTTAAGTGGGGTTTCATGTTTTCACAATATATGGTAGTAATTTTCTCAAGTTGGATTAGTGAATTCCCAAGTCACGTTAGTAAATCCCACCTCACAAATTACATTTTTTTATCACAATTAAGGACCATGGTCCTTAACTCTGATTTCAAAATTTCACGGTCCGTAATTGGAATTAATGTTCTTAGCAAGTCCTTAATTGTCATTCTCCCAAAGGTATATATGATTTATATAATTATTTAGAATCTTTAATATATATATGTGTGTGTGTGTGTGTGTGTGTGTGTGTGTGTGTGTGTGTCTAACTTTTTCATTGTATAGCCAAGGGGAAAAAGCAAATTGAAGGGCAAGGTGTCGGGCCATACTAAAGAGTCAGCCACGATTTCGCAACATGCAATGCCTATGCCTATTGTAGAAAACAAATTTCGTGACTCTCTTGAGACCTATGCTTCAGCTACGAGGATAGTTCGTCAAGTGCCGATTGGGGATATCATTAATTTTGATGATGGACTATTTGGTAGAGCATCATTTGAAGTCGTTCGGAATGAAATTTTGAATGAAATCCTCAAGCACGATATGGCGAGAAGTAGTTTGATGACTTTCTACATGAGGTAATTCTTCAACATTTATTAGTTAATTTCTTGAATTATTTATGTGTGTGAGTATGCAAGCATATTAACTTATATATTTTTCCACCCAAGTCACTTTTATACCTCATTCGTGGTTCTTGGTGGCCTCGAGTCGAAGATCAAGCTGGTTAATCCTCATGATGTCTCTCCCCACAATAATATTACAAAGGAAGCCCTTGAAAATCAAGCAAGAATGATTTTGGATCACTTTTGAGAAAGGGGAGCAGCGAAGGATACTTTATTTCTTGCTCCTTACTGCCAAGGGTGAGTTGTTAATATTTGTTACGAGTAAATATTTTTTTAAATTTATTTGTTTGGTAACATGTGCTGTTTCTTGTTAGGGGACACTGGATGCTTATTGTGGTTAATCTCATTACTCCAAAAATATGGTATCTCGATCCCCTTAATGGAGATCCAAGCAACAGGGAAGATATAGTGGTACTTTTTAATGAGTAAGTTGGATTTTTTTACTTGTTATTTCTTTTTATTTTTAGTTTTCATTCATATATATTTCTCACATTCATTCCATAATTCCTTCTTAGAGCTGTGGTGTTGTATTGCACTGCGAACGACATGACTGTGTCTCCTAAGATGAGGGCATTTGAATCTTTAGAGAAATGGGTCATTGTTAAGGTATTCATTCAATTGGTCAAGTTTTTAATCAAGAAACTATCTCATTATATTTTATAATTTTATTGATATGTGTTTTTTTTACTGTGTCCATTCCAGCCAGATCAAAGCAATGATTGTGGTTATTGCTTGATGAAGTTCATGAAGGACATTATCACTCATGCCCCTACCGCATTATCTGACAAGGTATATATACCTTAGGTATATATATAAAATTTAATTACATTTCAATTATAAATTTTAAACAATTTTAATTAGCTACCTATTAACTTGAAATTATTGTGACTATTTGCTTACAGTACTTCGAGGACGTCTATTACATTCATTATGCAGCTACACATGTAGAAGAGGTGGCCCAATGTGTTTTCAATATATGGGTAGCAACTGTAGTTAGGCTAGTACAATAGTTAGTTACATTTATATACACATTTTTTGGGCCAATTTTTATGGGATAGGCCACTTAGTTTTGGAACATTAGTTTGTAAATAAGTTGAGCATATAATTTTTAGATTTTAAGGTTAAATGTATAGGAATTTTTATGTTAATTAGATAGGAAATACTATTACAAATATTTATTATATTGCATTATTTTTGTTGCTGACTGGCTATTTTTTATCTTTATCTATATCTTTATATAGGGGCTGCTTTAAAAGCAGCCACTATATGTTAAAAAATTATGCCATAAATACTTGACGGTTATTTCAAAATAACCGTCAAGTATCAATATAGTTGACGCTTATTTCAAAACAAGCGTCAAGTATTTCAAAATACTTGACGGTTATAAGGAAACAAGCGTTAAGTATTTATGGACAGACCAACTAGCAAGTTTTGGCCATAAATACTTGATGCTTGTTTTGAAACAAGCGTCAAGTATTTATTTTGGATAGTGCATATTTAGTTCATATACTTGACGATTTTTTTTTTCAAATAACCGTCAAGTATAAGATTAATACTTGATAGTTTTTAACTGTCAAGTATTATTTCTTTAATATATGTCACACCCTTACAAAAATAAGCGTCAAATATGGGTATTTTCTGTGGTAGTAATACATGAGTGCTTGAATGCATACACTATCCTTGTGAGGCACTCTCCATGAAATTGCATCTTTTTAATGATTTGCTTGTGGTTGATAAGGTATTCTAACTAGGGCGGCAACATCTCTTGTGTTTATGTGAAAAATTTTCTTGACTTTTAACTTGATTACCCTTGACAAGTTGTTTTGTTTTACTTTGTCATTGTTCTGGGATTTTGAGAGAGTTTATTTTTTGTTTTAATTTTACCTAGAGTGCAAAAGGTAAGTGTAGGGGAATTGATAAGTCCCATTTATTACACACTTTTTCTTATTATTATTGACCAAAAATCATGTTATATTTGCCCAAATTACACACTTATTGCATTGATTATGAAAAAATCACCTAAGTGTAGGATTTTGTGCATTAGGGGCATTTTGGTCATAAAATTGAACTTTTGAGAAAATGTTTGAGAAAATTTTTCAAGATGCATTTTTAGTACAGAAAAATAATGGTCCAATTAGAATTAAATTTCTCAAATTCATTCTAAATTGAGAGTAATTAATTTCATAAGTTGACAATTTTGAAAAGTCAGAATTTCGTGTTGACTTATTTTCTTACACTTGAACTAGGTTATTTTTGTTCATGTGTGGGCTTACAGTTTTTACACTATTTGGCATGCTCCTTCACCCTCTTGTGATGTCATAATTAATTTTTATTATTTAATTTGCATTGTGCCATATATTTGGAAATTAATTTTAATTGGAAAATGTAAACATTATCCATATATATGCTTTGAACTTTAATCCTATGTGCCACATTTATTTGTGTAGGATTGTACCCTTGGATTTGGCACATGAGGACTATTGGATTAGAATATTAGATGAGTCAAGAGGCAAAACATTTGAGTTTTAAGGTGAAAGTATGAGCCTTATGTGATCTTACATACATTGTACCACACTTTAATTCCACTCATTCTCTATCTTAATTTCCATTATCTTTAGCTCTTTTTAATTCAAATTTTCATATCATTGTCACTCTGAATTTTCATCCACTCACTCCATTTACCATAGTAAAGATTAAATTTACTTTAGCTCATTTTTTACCAAAACCCTAAACACTTATATTGGGTCTATTTGCCCTAGACTTGAATCAAACTATCCTAATTTTATTTTCATCATTCACTCTTATTCTCACTACCAAAATCACGCCCCCTCTTCCATTTCCTCTCACCTTCTCTCCTCCATAACTCATGATACAACTATCAAAATCTTAATCCAACTCCACTGCTCTTCTCCACTAGTGCAGAATTTGTATTTTATAAGGCACTTTTAATATCGGTTAAAAGGCACCCATTGTTGAAAGTAGAGGGGGTGGCTTTTTTGTAATAATTTTTTTCCACTGTAGAACTTTCCACATCAATTTAAAAATAAACCACTATAGAAAAAACTTTTAACATCAAGTGCAATTTAACCCAATGTTAAAAAGTTTTATAAAATTAAAAATAAAATAAATTTTTTGACTTTCAACCACTGTTGAAAGTTGAGAAATAAAAAATAAAAAATTTAACACTTTCAATAATAGGTGAAGTGGCACCCGCTGTTGAAAGTTGAGAAATAAAAAAAAGTAAAATTTGACACTTTTAACAGCGGCTACCATGTCACCTATTGTTGAAAGCCCACTTTCAACAATAGTGGGTGATGTGGCACCCACAATTAAAAGTGTTTCAAAATTTTTAAAAAAAATCACCTTCTGCCTCCTTACTTCTTTGTCCTCTCTACTCTTCAGTACCCCTAATCTTTTTCCTTCTTTGTCTTCATCTCCTTGGCCCCCTCCCCCCACTCCCTTCGTCAGCCCCCCCTCAACTCCCCCGTCTTGGCTCGCTACTTCCCTCCGTCGACCCTCTTGCCCCCTCTCCTTCCATCGGCCACCTTCCCCCGACCTCACTCCTCCTTGCCTCCCCCACCTCCTTTCCTCCTTGTCGCTTGGCCTCCCCCTCCCCCCTTCACTCGATGACTCGACCTTTCTTTTGGCTCCTCCTCCTTCTTCCCTTCATCCAAGTAATTCTCCCTTTCTACTTTTCTTTTTTAAATTTTTAATTTATATATATTAATTATTATTTAATTTTAGTTTTATTTTTAATTATTGTTTAATTACTTTTATTATTTTTTTGTGTAAAATTGTTGTTGTTGTTGTTGTTGTTGTTTTTGGATGTCTAAATGTTTAGGGATAATATGCCAAAATTTTATTGATATTAATTGTTGCTAGGAGTATTGTTAGTAGCTTCATAAGGCCTTAGGTTGTTACATGTGATTATTTATTTAGTGTAAAATTATGAATTTTCTCTTGTAAATTTTTTTAAAATTTTTGGGAGCTCTAATTTTTAGGGGAGACTATGTTGAAATTTTTTAAAATTTATTATTTTTCCTAAATTACTTAAAATCTTATATTAGTTAGGAATTTTCATTTTTGAAATAGTTTGAAGACTATCATGCACATTAGTTTTATTCTCTTTTAGGTAGTTTCAAGGAGTTTTTGAAATTTGCTAAGAAAAATAATGTTGACAAATGGTGGGAGGTTCTATTGTTCTTGTGTAAATTGCTTGAATAAGAGGAGACTAAGTGTTGTCAAAATAAGAGAACACTTGATTTGTAATGGGATTTGCAAGAATTATATGGTATGGATCTAGCATGATAAATGATTAGAAAATCATAGTGATACATCTCAATATGTGGAAGTTGATCATAATCTTGATGATAAAGTAAATATGGATAAAGATTGGTTAGAGGATATGATTCGTAATATTAGGGAAGAGGCTTTTGAACAAGCGCATGTGTATGGTAACTTGTACACTGATGCAAAGAAGCCTTTATACCTAGGGTGTACTGATTTCAGTAAGTTGTCTGGGGTGTTAAAATTTGTTATATTGAAGGCAAGAGCTGGGTGGAGTGACCAGAATTTTACATGATTGCTAGAGTTACTCTAAATAATGTTTCCAAAAGGAAAGATACAAGCATGCCCTAATGATTGTGTCCTGTATAGAGAAGAGCTTGAAGGGAAAGAGAAGTGTCCAAAATGTAAGGCACCATGGTACAAAAAGAAGGGAGCTCCTGTAAAGGTTTTGTGGCATCTTTTGATTATACCAAAGTTTAAGCACTTGTTTACTAATACAAATGATGCGAAGAACTTGAGGTAGCATGCAAATGAAAGGATATTCGATGGAAAACTTTAACATCCAGCCAATTCTCCTCAGTGGATGAAAATTGATTAATTGTTTCCTGAATTTAGCAATGAACCAAGGAACCTGAGGCTTGGACTTTCTACTAATGGAATAAATCCTTACAGTAGCTTTAGCAGTATACATAGATCATAGCCTGTTCTTTTAGTAATATATAACTTATCACCTCAGCTATACATGAAATGAAGTATGTAATACTATCCATGTTGATTTTAGGACCAAAACAACCTGAAAATGATATTGATATTTACTTAAGACCTTTGATTAAAGACTTGAAAGACCTGTGAAAGGTAGGTGTGGATGTGTTTGATGTAAATCAAAAAGAAAATTTTAAATTACATGCTATGATCTTTTACACTATAAACAACTTTCTTGTGTATGGGAATTTATCTAGGTATAGTGTCAAGGGTTACAAAGCATGTCTAATTTGTAAAGAAAGCATATGTTATCATCAACTTCAACATGGAAGGAAGATGGTCTGCCTTAGACATCAGAGATTTCTTAGACGAGATTACCCTTATCTTAAATTAAAGAAATTTTTTCATGACCACTAAGAGCACCTTCATACTTCGAATGCTTTAATCAGGGAGCAACTTTGTGAATGAGTGAAAGATATTAATGTTATCCTTGGTAAGACTCAAAAGAATACAAGTGCCAAAAATATATGAAAAAAAGGTTTACCTTCTTTGATCTTTCATATTGATGCCATCGTAGAGTAAGGTATTGTATTAATGTTATGCATATGGAAAAAACGTGTGTGATAGTATTATTGGAACACTTCTCAACATGCTAGGTGTAATGCCCTTTTCAACATTACTATTCAATCTTCCATGCAATCTAACAAACAATTTAAAATCTTTTTAAAAGGATAGGATCCCAATTCAAAGC